GTTATCAGTTAAAATGACTTAGAAAGTTTTATGAAACTATTTGGCAGGATTTTAATCGATTAAAATGAGAAATAATTGATTAAAACAACTAAGAGATTTTTTCCAAAGTGTTTTAATCGATTAAAACAAACTGTTATCAGTTAAAATGACTTAGAAAGATTTATGAAACTATTTGGCAGTATTTTAATTGATTAAAAGGTGAATTAATCGATTAAAACAACTTAAGGGATTTTTTACAAAGTGTTTTAATCGATTGAAATGATGTCGCATCAGTTAAAACAAATCTGGAAAAATAATCAAGAACATTTTAACAGATTAAAGGAAATTTTAACAGATTAAATCAATACTTTTAATAGATTAAAAGATTGATTTTAACAGATTAATTAAACCAACAGTTTGAACAATCTTCTATATAAACAGGATTGTTTGAGTCTTTTAAGATATACCTTTTGAACAATCAATCAATTAATCAATCATAAGAGCTACTTTCAAGAAAGAATCACGGAAATTTTGTGAAGTTTTTCAAAGTTCTTTCTTGAGGCATTTTCTGCATTTCTTTTGTGAAGAAACTCATTCTGCAGAGCAGCATAATCCGGGTTTGAGTGTTCTAGTTTCTTCTCCTTTGTTATTTTATATTTCATTACTGTATTGTGAGTGTCTGGAAGTGTGGGCACTGGTTTCTGTAGCTAGAATTTGGCTGCAGGGTAGTTCAAGAACTGGAAGTTGGTTCTTGGTGAAGGTTTAGGTGCAAGGACTGAAATTTTGGTTCTTATGGTAGATTGGGTGTGTGATTGGAGTTGTAATCTGTAAAACATTCAATCTAGTGGAACTCAGCTGGAATTTGGCTGAGAACTGAATGTAGCCCTGGGATTGGGTGAACCAGTATAAATCTTGGTTGTATCTCTCTAAACCTTTCTTTCTTTAATTCTGTTGCTGCCTTTATTTTGATTGTTTGTTTTTTTGATTCAAGAAATTGGTCAGAACTCTTAATCTTTGAAATAGATAATCTGTAATTTGCAAAAATCTTTCAAAGATCAATTCACCCCCCTCTTGATCGCAACCTCCTTTTCTAACAAAAACAACTTAAGGGACTTTTTACTAAGTGTTTTAATCAATTAAAACTTGTTGTTATCAGTTAAAATCACTTAGAAAGTTTTGTGAAAGGTTTTGGCAGAATATTAATCGATTAAACTGCAAAATAATCAATTAAAACAACTTAAGGGACTTTTTGTTAATTATTTTAATCGATTGAAACGTTGTTGCATCAATTAAAATAAATATGGAAAATGATCAAGAACATTTTAACAAATTAAAAGATGTTTTAACCGATTAATCAAAGATTTTAACAGATTAAAAGGTTATTTTAACATATTAATTAAACCAGCAGTTGAAATAAAACTCTATATAAACAGGATTGCTTTAATGTTTTAAAATATATCTTTTAGAAATCAATCAAGCAATTATAAGAGAATTTTTTCAAGAAAGAATCGCGCAAGTTTTGTGGTGTTTTTGAAAGTTCTTTCTTGAGGCATTTTTGCATTCTTTTTGTGAAGAAACTCATTCTACAAGAGCTGCATAATCTGAGTTTGATTGTTCTAGTTTCTTCTCTTTATTTCTTTATGTTTCTTTATTGTATTGTGGGTGTCTGGAATTGTTGGGCACTGGTTCTATAGCTGGAATTTGGTTGCAGGTTGGTACAAGAACTGTAACTTGGTTCTTGGGTGAAGGTTTAGGTGCAAGAACTAGAATTCGGTTCTTGGGGTAGATTGGGTGTTGTGTGATTCAAAATTGTAATCTATAAAACATTCAATCTAGTGGAACTCAGCTGGAATTTGGCTGTGAACTGGATGTAGCCCTGGGGTTTGGGTGAACCAGTATAAATCTTGGTTGTATTTCTCTAAACCTTACTCTCTTTAATTATGTCGCTGCTCTATATTGAATTGCTTGTTTTTTCTTGATTCAAAAAGTGATCAGAATTCAAAATCTTTGAAATAGATAATCTGTATCAAGAAAGTTAAAAAATCTTTCAAAGATCAATTCACCCCCCTCTTGATCTTAGCCTCTTTTTTTAACAATATTGGACTTGATTCATTTTGATTGTGGGAATCGCTGGCACTATCTCTCAGAGGAGTAAAATATTTTGTATCGTTCATCGTTGATTACTCTAGGAGATTATGGGTGTACCCTGTCAAGAAAAAGTCAGATGTGTTTTCACAATTCAAGGAATTCAAAGCACAAGTAAAACTTGAAATTAGGAAAAGAATTAAGTGTTTGAGGACAAATAACGGAGGAGAATATGTAGGTGGAGAATTTTTAGTATTTTGCAAGCAAGAGGGTAACATCAAACAATTTTTGCTCCCACATTTGCCTCAATAGAATGATATAGTATAGCAGATGAATAAGACTCTCCTAGAAAGAACTAGAGTTATGTTGCAAACAACTAGAGTAGCCAAGTCTTTTTGGGTAGAAGCGGTTTAAACTGTCTGTTATGTTATAAATCAGTCACCGTCAACCACCATTGCTTTGAGCACACCAATGGAGATATGGAAAGGTAAACCAGATGATTATTCATCCTTACGTGTTTGGGTTATCTTATGAACGTGGTGTATAACTCTCAAGAAAGAACAAAATTGGATCCAAAATCCAAGAAATGTATCTTCTTGGGCTATGTTGACAATCTGAAGGGGTATCGCCTATGAGATCCGACTTCCCACAAGGTTGTTGTTAGTAGAGATGTAGTCTTTGCAGAAAATGAACTGCAAATTGAGAAAACAAATGACAACTTGATAAAGGACAATGTTATAGTACAAATAGAAAAGAAGTCTTCGGATGACTTGTCTAGGTTAGAAGAGGAGCACGAAGATCAAGAGCCAAATGAGGTTAGTAATGGAGATCTCCGATGATCAACACGAGAAAAAGCCAAACCATCTTGGCATTCACAATATGTGATGGTAAGTCATGATGTGTATTGTCTTCTATATGAAGAAGAAGAACCTTCAACCTTTCAAGAGGCTATGAGTTGTTCAAATGCTTCTTTGTGGATGGCTGCAATGCTGGAAGAAATTATGGTTCTTTATAAAAACAAGATATGAAATTTTGTGGAACTTCTAAAAGGTAAAAAATTCATTGGTTGCAAATGGGTCTACAAGATTAAGAGAGATGACAATGATCAAGTAGAAAGATATTGTGCTAGATTGGTGGTAAAGGGATATGCTCAGAAAAAAGATATTGATTTTAATGAGATATTCTCGCCAATTGTCAGATTGACGTCCATCAGAGTTGTCCTGACTATGAGTGTTGCATTTGATTTACATCTTGAATAATTGGATGTAAAACATGTTTTTCTATATGGAGATCTTGAAGAAGAAATTTATATGCTCCAACCAGAAGGCTTTAAAGAACAAGAAAACTTGGTTTGTAGGTTGACCAAATCTCTATATGGTCTAAAGTAGGCGCCCAGATGTTAATATAAGAGATTTGATTCCTTCATTATTTGCCTTGATTACAATAGACTGAGCTTAAATCATTGTACATATTACAATAAGTTTGATGATAATGATTTTATTATCTTGTTGTTATATGTAGATGACATGTTTGTAGTAGGCCCCAACATAGATCGAATCCAATAGTTAAATATACAATTGAGTAGGGAGTTTTACATGAAGGACTTGGGACCAGTGAACAAGATTTTAGGGATGCAAATTAATAGAGACAAAAAAGATAGGAAGGTTTGACTTTCTCAGAAGAATTACTTACTAAAAATCTTGTGATGCTTCGACATGCATGATTACAAGCTAATTTTCATCCCAGTTCTTATCAATTGTAAGTTATCCTCAAGTATGAGTCCCAACAATGAAGCAAAGAGGATGTAAATGACTCAAGTACCGTATGCATTAGTGGTGGGAAGTCTTATGTATGAATGATTTGTATAAGACCAGACATTGCACAACCAGTGGGAGTAGTTAGTAGATTCATTGGAAATCCTTGTGGCGAGCATTGGAGTGTTATAAAGAGGATCCTTAGATACATCAAAGGAACCTCAGGTATTGCATTATGTTATGGAGGATCAGAGCTAGTTGGCAGAGGCTATGTTGATTCAGATTTTGAAGGTGATCTGGATAAAAGGAGATCTACTACTGGTTATGTGTTTACAGTTGCATGTGGGGCAATAAGTTGGTTATCCAAGTTACAGGATGTTGTAGTTCTATCTACCATAGAAACTGAGTACATGGCAGACACCCAGACATGTAAGGAAGTTATTTGGATTAGGAACATAATGGAGGAACTCGGGCACAAGCAACAACAAATTGTTATGTATTATGACAGTCAGAGTGTCTTGCACATTGCAAGGAATCCAGCCTTTCATTCTAGGACAAAAAACATAGGAATAAAGATATCATTTTGCTTAGGAAGTAGTGGAAGAAGGAAGTGTGGATATGCAAAAGATTCACACGGATGAGAACCTAGCAGATGTTAGGACAAAATTAGTTAGTGTTGACAAGTTTGTATGGAGTCAATTCTACTATGGTGTTGCGGAAAAATAAGCAACATGGATGACAATAATAAAGCAAGCATGATGTGAATATTTGATTAATTTAATCAAAATCTTCAAGTGGGAGATTGTGAGAAGAGAAGTCCCACATCAGACAAATCTTACTTTGGTGCTTATTTTTCTTACTATAAAAGGAGCACAATGTTTACTTTGTAAAACATACCAAAATCACTTCTTTTTCTTTCTCCTGCTACTTTAGTGCTTGAGAGATAAATTAAGAGAGAAAAATAGTTTCTCCTTTAAGGTTCTCTTAGAGTTGTTTTTTCTTTATTTTCAAGAAAGGGTATTATTATTTCCTCCTTATAGATAGAGAGAGAAGGGTTTAATTTCTTTCATTAGTGGAATTACTTTTTGCCTATTGTTAGTATTTTTCTCATCTTTTTATTTTAGTTGTGTGTACTTATATTTTTGTCTAATACCTAACATTTGTGGTGTCCTATATTCCTAGGAAAAGTACTTCAAGTGAAAATTTATTCCCTAAAGAAGAAAGCAAGATGCAACAGCTGACAAAGTCCTCAAAGAAAGATTACAAGACTCAAACATCTGTTAAGAAAGTTGTTGTCAATGGAACTATGGAAGAACAAGAAAAGACAAGCAAGTAAATTGTTTCTATTGAAAGAAAATCATCAAAATTTTCAAACATTAGATTCCCTATAGACTTTGTAAAAGTTTCTCCAAGTAGTAGAAAAGTGACAAATACAAGTGTTCAATGGGCTTCATGATGAGTCATTATATTCCCGTATTTTCTTCCCTTTCTGAACTTATTTTAATTAGTGTTTTGGGCTTAACTTTCTATTATTAGTGAATTTTTATTAATTGGACTTCATTGGACCAATAATTTAGATTTTAATTAATTTGAATCTATTTGATCTAATTTTTGCTTATTATTAATTTTAGGACAGTTTAAAGCAATTTTGGGCCTAGAAGATTGGACCCGATGTCATATTACAGTTTAAAGCAATTTTGGGCTTGAAAAATTGGGTCAAATGTCATATTTTATTTTATATGGGTACTAACATTGGTTCACTGTTTTATATATCATTTTTTCTATAGATCTCCAAAATCATGACTATGAAATAATTATACACTAGACACATTCAACTTTCGATAGGATCCAAAATCATTCAATTCGGAGCTAAATTGGATTTTACATAAATAATCCAAAATGGGTCAAGCGCACCAGGTCGGCTCAATGGACATGGTTCAGTAATTTAAGTCTCCTAAATTCATTAGAACTCCGAAATTAGTAGAAATTGTGGCGTTTTAAAGCTAACGCAAAAGGCTTTCAAAGGAGACCAAAAACGCTTAATTTGGATAAGTATTGAAAATACTGCATGTGTTTGAAGTTCACGGACCTGCACTGAAGCCAACTTATGATGTGTTTCATGGACTAGTTGAGCCCAAACCTCGATTAAGATTAAGGTTAGGGTTATTTATATAGGAGAGACACATCACACATCAAAAACACATGACACACAACACACAAGGACTATGCAGCCACCACATAGCCACCTTTCATCTTCTGCAATTTATATTCAAGTTTGTTTACTCTTCTGTCATTATTTTAAATTCTTGTTTCAATTTTAATTATGTTTCTTCTACTATGTTTTCGACTTTCCATGGATAGCTAAATCTTTGTATTAATTTTTTGAGAAGAATGCAAGTAGATCTTTGAGGTTTTGTTCTTCAATTTCATTTCATTTGTTCTCTTAATTCTTCATCTTCTAATCTCAGTTTTGAATTATAATTTGTTTATGTTTAATAAACCAAAACTAATATCACAGTTTGCTTAAGTCTGTGTTAGAGATGAGATTATGTGATGTATGTAATGCTTAATTGTATAAGGATACTTTGGGGTTAATCTTCGCTTAGTTCGTTAATTTCATATTGGAATAAGGGTTAAGGAAAATTTGGGATTAATCTTCGCTTAGTTGGTTAATTTCATATTGGAACAAGGGTTAAAACTAATTTGAGATTAATCTTCGCTTAGTTGATTAATTTTGGATTAGAATATAATTTGGGATTTATCTTCGCTTAGTTGGTTAATTTTGAATTAATTTTGTAATCTCGGATAAGTGACATTGCATTGGAATCAGGAAATCAATTGCATTTTAATCTGTTTTAATCCACATTTTTATAATCTGCTTTTGTTTTGTTTCATCTAATATTTTAATTCTGAAAACCCCCCTTTTTGTTACTGTTCTAATTTGAAAAATTGATAAGCTTTGATAGAAATTCGTGGTCTTTGGGAGACGACCTAGGAAAGCTTCCTAGTACTACATTTATCTGTTTTAATTATTTGACCGAGTAGGACATGGATCAAATTTGGCGTCGATTGCCAAGGGACCAAGATTTCTGTCTAGGTTTTCAATTTTTATTTTTTGTTTCTATTTTCATTTTTTTTGTTTTCTATTTTTATTTTATTTTATTTGAATATTTTAATTGATTTGATGTTATTTATTTATTTTATTTTCAGTTATTGAATATTTTATTTGATTTTCAGTTATTTATTTATTTTATTTTCAATTAATTGAATATTTTATTTGGTTTGCAGTTATTTAAACATTTTATTTGATTTTTAGTTAATTAAATATTTTATTTGATTTTAGTTATTTGGATATTTTATTTTATTTTCAGTTATTTGAATATTTTATTTGATTTTCTGTTTAATTTAACATTCTTACTTCTCTTAATACTATTTTGATAACCCACTATTAGGTTCCTTCTAAAACTCTTTTGGGTTAAAAAAAAAAATAAAAAAATATAAATAATAATTCAAAAAAAAAATCGTCTCTAATTTGTTTTTCTAGCTTTGTTTTTTTTTTAATTACAATTTCCATTCTCATAGGACACTCTGGATATAGCTTGGTAGTGTGAGAGTGCATGTCTAGGAGGGAGGCTAGGAAAGACTTGGTACTTAAGTGTATCCATTAGTGACCCACCTCTCTTTCCTGGGAACCTACCTGGTGTACTTGTCCACAGTCTACTGTTGCCATTCCAGTAAACAACTGATTTCTTTTTAAGAATTTTTTTTTTGGTTAACTCTTGGGAAATACATGAATTGTTGAATATAGTGCATGACTAGGAGCAATCCTGACCTTTTACAACCTTTTGATCCTGAGATAGATAGAACCTTTCATAGATTAGTTAGACATTCTAGGAATTCATCTCTTGAGTCTGAACCATTATATAGTCTTAGTGATAATACTACACCTAATATACCTTCTTTTGATAATTTCCAAACTGATAACATGGGTGATCAACCTATTGGACCTCGTGAGAGAACACTTAGGGAGCTTGCTGCTCCTGAATTCACATATGATAGCTTATGTATCCAGTATCCTAATGAAGATGTGCCTTATGTTCTTAAAAATGGATTCATACACTTGTTGCCCAAGTTTCATGGTTTTGCAGGTGAAGACCCTCACAAACACTTAAAGGAATTTCACATTGCCTGTTCCACCATGAAACTTGCGAATGTCCAAGAAGACCATGTGTTTCTGAAGGCTTTTCCTCATTCCTTGGAGGGAGTTGCAAAGGATTGGTTGTACTACTTAGCTCCCAGGTCCATTACCAGCTGGGATGATCTGAAAAGGATGTTCCTGGAGAAATTCTTCCCTTCATCCAGAACCACTTCAATCAAGAAGGATACCTCAGGAATTAGGCAACAGGTTGGAGAAAACCTCTATGAGTACTAGGAAAGATTCAAGAAGTTATGTGCAAGCTATCCCCACCACCAAATCTCCGAACAACTACTGATTCAATACTTTTACGAGGGACTTAATAACATGGAAAGAAGTATGATTGATGTTGCAAGTGGTGGTGCACTTGGGGATATGACTCCTACAAAGGCTAGACAGTTGATAAAGAAAATGACCTCGAATTCCCAACAATTCAGTGTAAGGGGTGATGCAATAGTTATTAAAGGAGTAAATGATATGGCTACAAACTCCTCTACTAAAATAAAAAAACTGGACAACAAAATTGATGCCTTAGTGAATTTAGTCACTCAACTTGTTGTAACCCAAAAGAATGATGCTACACTTGAAAAAGTTTGTGGTATTTGTACGTCCATAGATCATTATACAGATGGTTGTCCCTCATTACAATCTACAGAACTAGATGCTACACAAGTTTATGTTGCAAACATTTACAACAACAGAAGTCCACAACAGCAGTAGAATTTTGACTTGGCTTCAACTAGCTACAACCTAGGTTGGAGAAATCATCCAAACCTGAGATGGTCCAATCAACAGCCACAACCACAACATCAGCAACAATAGCAACATCCTCCCACTTTCCAAAACAATGTTGGACCGAGAAAATATGTGCCTCCACCTTTTAAACAACAGTATCAGAGACAAAATGAAGCTCCAGTAACAGCACCAGCTCCGGATCCTCAACCTTCACTTGAAGAGCTGGTCAAGCAGATGGCCTTACAAAATATGCAGTTCCAATAGGAGAGAAGAGCTTCCATACATGAGACCAGAGCTTCCATAAAGGAGACAAAAGCTTCCATCCAAAGTTTGACAAATCAGATGGGGCAGATGGCTACTGAACTTAATAAGACACAGTCCCAAATTTCTGATCGATTGCCATCCCAGACAGTGCAAAATCTGAAAAATGCCAGTGCCATCACTTTGAGATCTGGTAAGCAGGTTGATATCCCAATAGCTGCACCTGTACCAGAAATTGTGCCTACACCTTAGACAGACAACCTTGCTGCATCAAATACAAAGCGTCCTGAGCAAGGGGAGCCTACAGATGACAGTACATAATCCTCCAGTTCTACTACATAGAGTAGTCGGTAGCTGCAGCAGCCTCCTATGCCTCTTCCATTCCCACAAAAATTCCTCCAAGTAAAAGGATGGAAGAAGTTGACAAAGAGATTCTAGAAACATTCAAGAAGGTGGAGGTGAACATTCCTCTTTTGGATGCCATCAAGCAAATTCCTAGATATGCCAAATTTTTGAAGGAGTTGTGTACACACAAGAGAAAGCTAAAGGGAAATAAGCAGATTAGCATGGGCAGAAATGTGTCAGCACTAATAGGTAAATCTGTTCCTCAAATTCCTGAGAAGTGCAAAGACCCAAGTACTTTCTATGTGCCTTGTATCATAGGTAATTATAAATTTGAAAACGTAATGCTTGATTTGGGTGCTTCAATTAATGTCATGCCTCTGTCTATATTTAAATCTCTTTCTCTTGGACCCCTGCAACCTACGAATATAGTTATTCAGTTGGCAAACAGTAGTGTTACCCACCCTGCAACCTTTTCCAAGAATATTAATACAAAGCTTGCTTCGAAGGTTCCTACACTTCTTATCTTCTTTTATCGCTTTATTATTACAACTATTTGTGCATTAGCTATTAGGGCCATGTAGCCAATAATTTAAATTTCACAAATAAATAAGGGTAAAAGCGTAAGTTTAGAGTTCTTTATTTATAAAATAAACGGTCCATCATAGGAATCCGAAAGGGGCGTTGTAGGGAAGCTAATACCTTCCCTACACGTAACTAACTTCCTTACCAAACTCTGGTTATAATGGCCAAAGTTGGTTTATCTAAATCAACGCCTTCTTTTTCTTCCTTTTCCAATGTTT